CCTCAGTGCTTCCCCAACTATTCTCCTTAGCTCGTTGAAATCCGCCTGCCTAAAGTTCAGGGTCAGCAACCAGTTGCAGATGCCGCTGGCAGACACAGCTGGCGGTGTCAGCAGCAGGGGGGTGGTGAGTGGTGACTGCCTGCAGGCACTGCTGGCAGTGTCGGTGACGCCTTTTTGTAGGGGGCATCACCTCGCTCAGGGGGTGCACGTGTACCTGCGTGCACCCCCTACGCATCACCCTGCTGCTACGTGTGCAAATTAAAGCTTGATAGCAACCAGCTATAAAGTTAGTGCACATTTGCCAGGTCTAACTTTATAGCTAGTTGGAGCTTTTTATCATGTGATAGCTACCTTGCACAGCTCTCAAAGTAATTGTGCAATTAACCAGCTAACTGCATGATACCTGTAATGTGTAGAGGGGACCTATGCCTAATAATATTGCATTAAATCCAAGGAATTTACCAGGAAGCTTTAATATCTGGGAACATACTGGTATCATACATTTTGGGCCAATCATTCATACCACATTTGGGGTTATGAAGGAATCCCCCTCCTCAGATTGGCATAGACTGGGGGGTAAAGAGGTATGTATGTGTATGTGGGGGGGGGTGTTTGCCTACCTCTGTATTGGGGGCATGGCCTCCGCTGGGGATATCTTGAGCATACAGTGAGAAACTTCTATAGAAGCTGGACCTTGGCTGCCGTGGTCCTCCTGCTTTTCCTGTAGCAGGTTTGGTTGTTGTGTCAGGGTTGACTGTAGTCTTATGCAGAGTTTAGATGATGGATTGTATAGGAGGGCTTGGACAGGGCTGATCCTGCCCCGGGTAGGGTGTTGGACTAGATATCATCTCTGGAGGTTGCTTCCAGCCCCACTCCTCCACACATCTAATGTGCCACTGCCATCTAGTGTCAGACAACTTAGCGTAAGGCAGCAATCTTGGAGGTTCCTAGTAATTTTGCCAGTGGTATGGGAATGTGTAGTTATGCATCTGCACTGAAGGGGGAAGTTGATTGACATCAAAATCAGTAAGATCCAGTTCATATGAAATGGCACAATGTATGTTCTGAGTAAGGCTACAGGTTCTGCTCAGTAGAAGTGTCAGCAGCAAGAAGCCTGCAGGAAGAGATGCTTTCCTGGTGTTAGCATGGGATGTTTTTGTTTCCCATGAGATGCCATCAGTGGTTTGTATCTGTGGCCATGAAGCAGACAGGTTGGCTATGATGGCATGGCACCCCGTCCACTGCCAGGAGACACACGGAATTGAAATGTCCATGGGGAGGGGATTACCTCTTTGGTGAAAATATCTCCGTGCCGGCTCAGGCGCTAAGAACCTGCTTCCAGTGCCTTGCAGCCCCTTACTTCATTATTACAGCCCTGGCCCAAAGCCTGCAGCCATCAATGGGTATCTTTCCATTAGCTTCAGTGGGCCTCAGGTTCTGTCCTGTGAGAGGGAAGCTTTCTTGGCTCATCAGGGAAACAGAGGCGCAGTTGCATGAGGCAGACACACCCTCCCTGTGTTCAGAACCGATTGCTGTGTTGCTGCTGTCTGGGACCCAAATCCTGCTCCATTTGCACTGTGAATACACGGGGTCCCCACCTGGCTCCACACAGTGCCTACCTGGCTTGCGGAAGGTAACTCTATTCCCTCCTTAAGTCCACCTTCATCTGTAACTCAAGATCTGAACACAAACCTCATCCTGAACTTGTTCCTCAAGCCAGGCTGTTCCTAGGCCTTTCTGCAAGGCTCTCCAGTCTCTGTGTCTTAGTGCTCTGTCCACAGGGTCATCTCCACCTTCAACTGCTAGAGTGGCATGAACAAGCATCCCCTTCCACAGCTGGCAAGGGGGAATCTAGCTGGCTGAGCTTGCTGTGTGGGGCAGGCCACTGAGCAATGCCAGCTGCTACAAATCAAGCAGGTCACAGACAGCAGGGACAGGGGCTTGTACTGGGAGTGACAGCTGCAGCTGGCAGCCCAGGCAGCCAGGGAGTAAGGGCTGCAAGCAGCTGGGTAAGCCTGCAGCACAGGAGGGCGGAAGGGCCATTAGGACAAAGGGAAACCCCTGTGTGTGGCTGGGGTAGGGCAGTGATGTAGAGTGGGGGTGAATTTCAGTTTGGAAGTAGTGGCATGGGTTCCACCAGCAGAGCTGATGGCACCCCACAGAGAGCCCTGCAAGCATCAGGGAGCCCAGGGGGCTGCAGCTGAGTGAGAGTAGCCTGGCTTGGGTCAGGGACCCCAGGGAGCCCAGTGGGCTGGGATAGCACGAGCCAGGGCTGAGGCCCAGCAAGTGAGACAAGGCTGGGGTCCATGGATGCTGGGTGGTTCTGAAGGGGTGGTTGTGGGGTGTTGTCGTGGGTGCTGCCCTGTCCAGGCTCTGCTATGTGTTTGTCTGTGGGACTTGCTGGGGGTGTAGCTGTGACCCCACAGAGTCATGGAGGGCCTGGTCAGCAGGTCTCAGGTTGTGGATATGGGGAGTAGTTTATCATCCAGAGGTGTTGTGTCATCCAGCCTGTGGGGCTCCCCACAGGGCTGGAAGTTTGGCAACAGGGGAGCAGTGCCACCTCTATCATGCTGCCAAATCTCCAGACCCCCAGGAGCCTCAAGCCCTCTGTGCTGCATCTGGCACCTGATCCCAGCACATAGGATTGGGTGGGGTGGTTCCAGCCCCCTAGGGACCAATTCTGGCACACAGAGGGTAGTGACTGGGATCAATCCCCCAGCACCACACACATCTCTATCCCCCACCCGCTACGAGGACCAAGCCCTCATGGACAAGGAACACTCACTCTTCTCCCTTGGCTTCTCTCCCATCCACACCCACACCACTCCCTGACACGTTCACCCCTTCCCTTGGCTGCTCAGTATGTGCTGCCCTACGCACCATTGTTCAGAGGTGTATGGGATTGGGAGGGTTCCCTGCCAGCCTCCTGCCTGCTGTCACTCTTGGGTTCAGGCTCCATGGGTTGCAAAAAGGACTTGAATTTGTGTGTGTTGGTGAAAGCTCAGAAAGGTTGATTGTCTCCTATGACAGTAGCTAGTAGGGCTGTCCAGCCATCAGCCTAGCTCACTAACACTGCCCCGTGATAAGCGATGCATTACATGCACTGATACCCCCTAAGTCGCTACAAAAGGCTGAGTGTTGTAACCCCTGTATTTATAGCCGAGATGCCCCATCCCATGCCAGTTCTTATCTTGACATCTGTCCTGATATCCCATTTTTCCTCATCTCTTTGCCAATTCCACATGCCTCCAGCTCTTTCCCTGCTGAGTTCAGGCACCTGGAGCTCACAGCCTGCTGATTTTGGGCATCTCCAGCTCCCTGCCTGCTAAGTCCAGCTGGTCCCTTGCCATCTTTACCAGTGACTTCTAATGTTTTATTCCTCAGCTTGTTCAGCTTCTGTTTCTCAGGGAGAATTAGCACTTTGGCTCACCACACCTTAAATTATCAGGTCATCCAGCAGTCAGGGAAGCCTACTACTACCAAAGGCCTTTGCAGTGCCTTATCTAAACTAGAGTTTAGCATCACTATGGCCTAGCAAGACTGAAATTCCCCCATGTCTTTTGTATGTCCTTAAAATGGGACAATGGGCTTATGCCTCTGCGGGATCCCATCATAAAGAGCTTTGTCCTGGGAAAATCTGACATCTGCTGTCAGCCTAGCTCTGTGCCTGGCTCCTCAAGCAGCCTGCACAGGCCCTTCCCAGAGCTTGCTTTGGCTTTTGGTGCCATCGTGTGGCCATTTCACCATTTGCCATAAAGCAAAAGCACCCAGCTGCAGCTGAAGGTAGGTGGCTTAGAGCCTGGCTCCTTTTCTTTATCGTTTCTCAGCTGGGGCTGTGGAGAATACTTCTCCATCCCTCGACTCTTGCTTCTGTCCGTCCCCACAGCTGGGTGCACAGCTGAGCACTTGTAGGCCTGGATTCCTGGCCTCTCCCTTGCCCTTCTCCTGGGCTGCATCCTAGGAAGAGAAAGTCAACAGGAATTTATTACTGACTGTTTCTTCCCATACAGGAGTGAGCAGGTCACAATGTAGCCCAGGTAACTCAGGTATATACTCCCCTTCTCCAACTGAAGGGGATTGTTAGCTGGCAGGTGTGCTGTGGGGTGGGAACGGCAGACCGCTCAGTTCCCCTCCATTCCTATAGAACCAGGCCAGGCCAGTCAGGAGACTTAACTATATACAAATTT